AAGTATTTGGAGATGTTGGAATTGGTGCAGCACAACGAGGTAGAGAAGGAAGTGACTTTGGACCCAGTTGTAGAACTCACAGGGACATAAAGGATGCTCAGTACACATTTATTTTGAAAAGGGTATAGACAAGAGAAACCATTTACTGTAGTGGGAGTTTAATTTCACAGTCTTGAAAGGAATAAAGAAAAATTAGCATGAATTTTGGAAGAGTTAATATGCAAGGAGGATGATTTTGGAATATTTGTTTTATAAATGGGAGAAACTATCCCATATTTTTTGTTTTGTTTTTCTTGAATGAAAAGCTAGAAAATACTTTTTTAAAAAAATTATAGTGTTTGGAGTTAATCAGAGGAATAAAGGAGGGGCTGACACATTTCTTGTTGCTTGCAAATTGTAAATTGCAGTTATTCGCAATCATGCTTATAGCTGGTGTGGGTTCATGTGCATAATCAGCTGCTTTTTGAATGCATGTTCTATTGTTCTGTTTTATTTATGGATTCAATTGTGATGAGAAAGACATTATGAAGTTGTTTGGATGAAGCCTTAGAAATGTCTTCTAGGAGTTTTGAAAGTCAGCGAGTTCGGGCTACAAACCGGGGCTGTGTGCAGCACTGTAAATTTTGATGAAGAAGTTGAAGAGTTTTCAGCCTCAAAATAGAAGGTCAGATTCTGCTTTCAGACTTGGTTGTGCATGAGCCAGCAATACTCTGGCCTGACACAGGCACCTTGTTACCATCCAGTTGAAGTATAGCCAGATCCAAAAGCCCTGAGGTCAGGAGTCGCCCATCGATTTCAGCGTCTGGACCTGTTAGCAATCCAATCTGACCCCACTCCTGCTGGGACAGGACGCTGAATTTCTACCTCCAGTCTCCTTGCACAAATGATGTGGCAGCAGACTTTTGGTGCTAATTATCAGCACTAGCCTTCTGATTGATGAGAGTTTGTTTATGTGATTATTTTTCTTAATAGCTGTTGCTGTGTGCCAAGACTATTAGAGGGAATGTTGGGCTGCTCAGGAGAGACTCGCCCTGTGTTACTGGTTCCACTCTTTCACTTGCTGAATCCACTTGAGCAATGCCCTTTGAGTCTGCACTTTACAAAGTCTTTGCGTTTCCCTTCACTTCTTGTCTTCATCTATTTAAACTGCTTGCTTTTCTGGGAAGTCATCAGCTTCATGTTTGTAAGTATCCAGTGATGTGGGACTTCAGGCTTTTTGGGAGCACTGACTGGCTGAACACAAATAGCAGTAACTTCTCTCTCGTTGACAGATTTGTATTTTATTTTTTCCCCTATGTGCCTTTCAATTAAAGCAATATTTTGGCTGAAAACAAGAGCTAGGAGATGAACTTTAACACCACTCCATTCTTGCTGTGAAAGGGAGAATGGAGGTTATTTGGTGAGTAGTAACATCCACAGAGTGTGGGAAAGTGCCTTATGCTCAGTCTTCCCACATAAGTGAACTTCTTCATTTGGGTCTTCCCCCCACCTACATCTAGTGGGACTTAATGCTTTAACTGAATTTCGCTGGATCAGTCACCACATCCCACAGCAGGTATTAGATCTGTAGAAGATGTCCTTATTGCAGAATGACACTCTGCCATGTACAGCTGTGAGTGCTTTCTAGATGGGGTTAAAATTCTGTATCAGCTTGCTAAAAAAATAATTAGTTTTCAAATAGGAAGGAAATAAACTGGTTGGTTAGGTACCATGCAGGGAGCTTTTAATTAAAAGATGTTTAAATCTGATTCTCTCAACTGTCAAAGATTTGAAGTAATGAATTATGTTTGCTACAATTGTTTTATTTTATTTTTATGTTATTTTTATTTTATTTTTCTTCTCAGTTACCACTGTATTTGAGTTCTTCCTGTGCACTGCCGTAGGGGTAGATGGTAGCTCCTGGCAGATTCAAACACAGCTGGCTGAGAACACTGCTACTGTTGGATGAACAATGTCTTTGTTAATGCCCCTGTATACATAAATGATGGCCTTGCTTTATTTATTTATGAGATATATCCAATTACACATCTCAGAGCAAATGTCCACCGTTCAGTAAAGCACACAATATTGGCATTAAAAAGACAATCCCTGAAATGGGTGATCAGTACTTTTTCCTCGCTCTCCAAAGAGAGATTGAAATAAGAGGGAAATGTAAAATTCAGCAAATTCAGGTAAGTTCTTTTGGGACCTGGTCATCTTTAAGAGCTGGCTGCAGCTCAGCCAGGGAAGACGTTGTCTCTGCTGTGGCTGTACACAGAGCTGCCTCTGGAAAAACAGTACACTGGATTCATCCAAGATCCCTCTTCCACGTGGTCTGGATGGACCAGTCCCACCAGTACAACAGGTCAGATTCTGCTGTCAGGCAGTGATGGCTGGGATTCACTAGGCTGTTACCTACTGGGATATGTTTCACTGAAGCGAGCCATCCTAATTATTTGAAGAGAAGGAGAATAAATGGTTTTGTTCTTCATGGAGCTTCAGCACAGGGCCTGGGTTTTGTTTTCATTGTGTGTCTGTGTTTGTGCTCACAAGCTGATCCGATTTAGAATTTGAGATGTCCATTAGAAACTTCACAGTGTAAATTTAGTTTCTTTTATCAAGTAGGTTAGCTATATACTGAAATAATTCTTAGTAATTTGCTATGAAAGACTTAGTCTGGATTAAGATGAGTATGCAGATAATCAGGGTGTTAAACACTTTTAGACTTGATCTATTTCCCTCTTGGTAGATATTTATCTCAACTAATAGTAGGGTAAATGCATACTCATGAGTGGTTCGTATCAAATAGCTAATGCTCTGTAAGTTCACCTGTACCTTTCCTGTGGTAACGTGTACATGTAGAAGTATCCTGATTTACAGTTTTGGCATAAATTGATAACGTAGCCAAAACCTCAGTCTTCTGACCTAGCAAGGAGTAAGTCTCCTGTCCAGTCCTTGATTCCTAATGCTGTTACCTGTTACAATGGCACTGGAGTGAGCTAGAAGGCACAAATCAGCCCTGCCGGCCCCCTCAGTTACAGCTCCCTGGCAGCAGCCAGCAGCAATACATCCTGGCAGAGCTCTGAAACCTTGGGAACTTGTGGAGCAGCAGCCCCGTGACAGAGAGCTGGCTTGCAGGTGGAAGTGCACAGAGCAGTCGAGCTAAGATATCTTTGTGGTTTTCAGAGGGGTGGTTGCTGTTTGGCTTTACCCCTTTTATATTGTCCCTCATTCCTTCCTGGTGGTGATAGCCCAGCAGTTTATTAAGCCCCTTTCCAGAGGCAGTGAGGATCAAGCATGCCTTATTCTTTGGGTTTAGCTGCTGTGAAGTGTAGCAAACATGTTTGTTTCTCATTCTGTCTTGCTGGCTGTCTCTGAAATGTGGTGTTTTCATGCTGGATATGGTAGTTCTGCAAGAATTTATATTCACAGCAAGGTTTAGCAAGACAGAATTGCAACTACGAGGCAAATCATTTAGAGTTCAGTTTGGTTTCTAGGAACAGAGGCTTACTAGTTATTTTTCACTGGTTTCTGTGCTATTATGTTGTTGTGATAATCTTGGCAGGGATCTGTCACTCTGTGTTGGTATAATTGAAACTTGTTTTCCCTGAGGAATCACTCTGCTGTTTGTTTTATTTGTTTACTGACATTGACAGAGATCCTAATGGCTTTTAAAACCCAATTTGTGCATCACTGAATATCCTCCAAAGAGGAAAATAAAATTAAATTTATCAGTAAAATAGGATCCCCTGTGCAATGCTTTGTCTGAATCTTAGACCCAACCTGAGCACCTAGCTGTGGGTCTAGAAATAGCCATGGTGAGCTGCATCTTCTCTTTATTTCTAATTCTGTCTTCAGGGCTTTTGTCATTAAGATACTTGAAAGGATAAATGATAATAAGTTATTTAGGGCACCAGTGTAAGGTGGACAGCTCCTCCTTGTGAGAAATAAATTAGCTTTTATTAAAAAGGAAGTTAAGATAACAAACAATAACCACAGTAAAATTCCCCTTTTGGAAGTGTATACATGATGATATCACTTATTATTGTCATAAAACAGGGTAATGAAGTGATTAGGGTTTTTTTTTGTTGTTTTTACATGTATGATATCAAAGTATTCATGCATTTATTTTCTTGTTAATCACTTATTATTGTCATAAAACAGGGTAATGAAGTGATTAGTTTTTTTGTTGTTGTTGTTGTTTTTACATGTATGATATCAAAGTATTCATGTATTTATTTTCTTTTAAGCCTTTGAAGAATTTCGGTGAGATCATTTGGACCACTCATGGTCCTAATGCCTGGCTGAATTGTGGTTATGGATAGGTGTACAGCTTGTTGCATGCTGTGCTCCAGAGCATGCACACAAGTAAATGATGAGGCACAGGACAGATATTTTGGAATGTGAGAAGGAAGGGTGGATTTCTTTCAGTTCTAAAGGATGCAGAATAATTTAACACCCCCAAACCTGTCAGTTTTCATTGGATGAAGATTCAGGATTTTTTTTTTATGCTGCTGAAGTGATTTAGACCTTTTAATTACCTTTTGACACACTTCCTTGCCATTCAAGCATATAGGGATTGCCCAGGTTTCAGTGAACTCTGACTGTGAACGTCATGAGGGGATAAGTTTGTAAAATACTGCTGATTTTAAAGGCTATCTGTCAGTTTGTATATATACAGCTATGAGCCAAACCAGTCTGACCTCAAACCAGAGCTGTAGTATAACAACACTCTGCTTTTCTTACTGTATATCTCTTTTGTAAATCTCCCTGACTTTGATAGCACTGTAATAATAATAGATCTGCAATATTTATGTTCCCTCTTCTAAGAAAGTGTTCTGATATGCCCTGGGAAGGTGGGTAATTAGTCTTATCTCGGTTTTTACAGGAGGTAAATTAGAAGTACAGAGAGAGAGCCCAGAACATCTTCCTCCCACCTCCTTGTTCTCATTGCTTGGTTCAGTAGTGCAAATCTTGACAATATGCACTCTCAGTCTGATCTATGTTGTGTTGCATTGCAGTGCCCAGAACAAGGATTTTGGCTACTGGTGGTGCATCCCACAATAAAAAGATCTTACAGGTAAGCAGAAAATTAAATCCTTTCAACTGAACTTGCAGTTATTTCTGCATTTGTATTTCAAGGTACTGAATCCAAGTCACTGCAGCTGCACAGGAAGGTATGGATGTGGGATTATGAATCTGCTGCAGGTCTTTGAGGCTTTTCTTCAGGTTTAGTGTGGAAGGTCTTAGCCCAGTGCTAATTTTGTATTGAAGCTTAAAGGATTTTTTTTTATACTTGACTAGTTTTATGAATGTGTATCTGAAGCACTGATGATTTCCAGGTCTCATCACTTAAATCAATCAGCAAAGAAATCAAGAAGAAACTTGATACAATACTTGAGATTTTTGTAGCTTTTGTCATTCAGATCAAAGTTGGACCATGGATTTAAACTAGAGGGGGGATTGTTGCTGTATTGTATTGTGGATTGTATAGCCTGTCCTCCATGTTCCCACCTTCCTCTTCTGTAGCTGTTGCTACACATCCAGCCCTGGTTAAAATCTTAAGATCCTGTCTTGACAACAGAGTGCTGCATGCTCTGTTTTTCTGCCCATTGAGATATGGCAAAGCCTTGCTCACGAAGGGTGAGGGGCTTCTTGCCTGGCTTTTGTATCACAGAAGTAGACATCTGGGTTGGGATTCCTCTTGCCTGAATCCAGTCTTCTGTGATGTGACGTCTGTATACAATCTGTCAGTTCTGTAACAGTCCAGGGAGATCCAGTCAGCTACAGTGCAGAGGAAACTGGATGGTGTTTTAACTTATCAAACATAGATGTCTCCCTCTGGGTGAGCCAGAGAGCTTTCTGTTCTCTACTGGCTGTCTTGACAAGCTCCTCTGTGAGAGACTGGAGGTGCAGACACTGAGCCTGGAGGTATTTACAACAAAAGGCCCCTCTTGGTGTTAAGGCTCAGTCCTGGCACTAAAGTTAGTCAGTACAAGGTGAATTTTCTGGAGATGGCAGCCCCTTTCCATCACCTAGAGCAAGTCTAGAGGCCAGCCTCGTCTATGCACCATACTCGTGGACAATTGCAATCCTGTGAAATTGCAATCCTGCTCATCTGCTCTGTGAAACCTGAGCCCAAATAAATGGAGGTTGAGGAGCAAAGAGCAAAAAGCTCTCCGTCTCCTAAGGCATCAAACCCACATGTTTATATAACCATTGGTTGTACAGCTGATTGGGACACAACAAATTTGGCATGTTTTGCATGTATATGTCACTTTTCTTCATCTACTTTGGTTATTTTGGTTAGGAGCTTGATGTTGGAAAATTAACTAATAGGTTAATTACTTAAAACATTGGTCCCTACTGGAGTGATTCTACTAAGAACGCATCAGGGAAGAGAGGAAGAGATTGGATTAATAAATTAGTTTTTAAAGCTATATTTCCAGTTTAGGTGCCAGGAAGATCTCCTTGCTCTGGAACGAAGGCAGAGAACTGAATGTTGTTATAACATGTAAAAAACATGTTAACATATAAATAACATATAAAATACATAGAAATAACATATGTATAAATAACATAAAATTGTGAGGATGGGAGCATGGTGGCTGTGTTGCCTGCTTTTCACGTGTAACAATACAACTGCTTTTAAAACTCATTAGAAGTGTCTTAAAATAATATGATCGATACAGTGTCATCCACTTAATTCAATCACTGGTTAATTGGATCTTTCTTTTTAATTTAATCAAAACCTCAGAAACCATATCAGTTGCATGAAGAATAACAGCTTCCACCCTTATCATGGTCAATTTTGGATAATTTGTTCCAGGGCTACAAAAGACTATCATTTAATTAATCAACATTCAGTAACTCCTATATTTCACACTGCAAAGGAGGCAACTTAGGAAAATCTGTTAAAAAAGATATAGTGGGGCAGATTTCTCCACAGTTCTGGGAAGCTTTTTATAACATATGTGGTGCCTGATTAATGACCACATGAAACACAGTGAAATATTTTTAACAGTAAAACCTCCAACAGTTTCTTCTAAAATTATTCATGAGACACTACATTTTCAAATGACTTACTAAATATCTGAACTCTGAATAATTTTAATTTTATAATCATGTGGCATGAAAGGCAGTTATTAGTTGTAGTATTACAGTAGTTACTAGCATTCAGGATAGGGTAGAGCTGCATTGTATGAGGCTCTACAGAGATGCAAAAAAACCCACCCCAACCACCTCTATTGTCCAACAGAATGTACAATTTGAGCTTAAGACAAGAAATCTCTACTAGAGATGGGATGAAGAAGCAGATGGGGAGTGTGCTGGAACAGTATGGTCATATTGGCTGGCAGGATGGGCAGTGGAACCAACATTCTGTGACCTTATAATTTCCAGAGGGCTTTTTAATAGATAGCATGATTAATTTTCCATGTGTCCCATAGCATTGAAGCTCATGTATGGCTCAGTGCTCGCTTGCAAGCAAGCTGGGCAATGCTGACTTGGCTATTTTACCAGAAGTGGGTGTTTTAAGTGTATAAGCCCAGACTTCCATTGGATTGTAGGTAGCAACCATCCACTTTTCTTTAAAATTACAGAAATTGGTGATTTGGAAAGGTTTTGATTTGCAGATTCCCCACAAATTTTCTGAGAAAGAGGCAAAATCCTTTAGAAATCTCACACACTACTTTTTTTTTTTTTTTTTTCCTGTATTGAATTTTGTAGTCATCTTTTGTGAAGCCTTGGGGCCCATGATCAGCAGGGCTGTAAATTCCTGGATTTCGTTTGCAGGTCACTAACCCAAATGGTTTTGGATTTCTGGCCTGATTTTAGACTCGACTGTATGGATGTAAATCGGGTGGTGTACTGTTCCCTTTGGCAAAAATAATAAAACCAGAACAAGTTAAATCTGAATTGTTACCTGCTGCTTGTGTTGCTCAGCCTGAGGGGCACCTGCAATCCTAGAGGTGATGAAACCAAATGGAAAGAGTTTGCTGACGATTTTTTTGGAAAAGAGTTATTGAACCTTCCATGTCTCTGTCCAAATTTTTCTCCTTCTCTATCTGTTTTTCTAAACCTATGCTGTGATGAAGAACACAAGTGCTCAGGGAATGCAGGATGCCTGGGGTTGATTTCAATGCAGAACGATGTATGGTTGAGTTAACTTTAGGATCTGTTGGACACTGTAAGAAAATTCTTTGCTTGTAAAATTTTCTTTGTATTGATCAAGCCAACCTGAGAATTTTGGTATATCTTCATAGCTAAGGATCCCTCAAATTTAGGAAAATTCCTGTTGAATATAGAGACTGTGTAATTAGCTGTTGTGCCATTCTTCCTGCTAACCCTAATATGATGGGAATGGTAGAGGTGAAGAAAACAGGCTTAGCAGGCCTTTATACTGCTGAAGCTTTTGTTTTATCAAAGTTCAGAATTGAGGACCTTTGACTGGTCCCTTTTTCCTTCCCACTTGACTGATTCATAAACATAATGGAAGTAAACAAGCACCAGTTGTGGGCTCCTGAGCAGATCTCCTTGCCATGATGTAGGCCTTTGGCATGGGCTCATTGTGTGGGCTTATGAGGGAGGTGGTGCTTGAACCCAGAGTCCTCTGAACTTGTAATATGGAGATCTGGAGAGAAACGGGACTTTGTTTCCTGGCTGCAGCTACATCTCCAGCTCAGATTTGCCAGTACCCTGTTGTGTGACACGTTCAGGACTCTTTGCCTGCAGTGCTTCTTTTCCTGGGTACCCAGGTGCTTGGCTGGGGTGTACGGTTGTTATTTGTTCTCCAAAGTGGTGATAGGGGATTGCTTATCCCTTGTCTTTCATGGCCATGCCTGGCTGATGCTTTGCTGCTCCTCAGGTCCTGTCTGACGTGTTCCACGCGCCGGTGTACACCATCGATACCGCCAACTCCGCCTGCCTGGGAAGTGCTTACAGAGCAATCCACGGTAAGGCTCTGAGGAGATACTTTTGGGCAGTGTGAGCATTTAATTTCAGTGGGTTAATACTTGGGATTAACATTACTGAAAATGAGGGGAGAATAAAGCTCTGTGGATCTGACTGGAAGGTCACTCAGGTCAAAGAGGGGTTTATGCTCTTCGTGTGCTTGGATCAGGCCCAAGAATAACATTTGCATTATAACATAAGTCTGGTAGCTGCTTCTAAACCAAGGGATAGGGCCTAGAAACTTGATACTGACAGGGGAATGTCTAGGACCATAACATGTTTCTACCACCATGTGCCACTCATGGAAGAATACAGCCAGCTGAAGGTGCTGGTGTAGCCTGCTGCCCTGGTTTGTGGACCAGGCTGTAAACTGGGTTGCTGAAATGGGCAAACCAAACAAAACATTCATCCTAGCAAAGAAGATCAGAGAGGGCAGGGATGACAGGACAAATAGCAGTGCTGGCCAATTAAATGTTGTTAGACCTACATGTATCTTCCAGCTTTTAAACATCAAGACACATTTTAAACAAGAACAAGAACAACAAGAACATTTTAAACAAGCTTTTTAAAAATCATATCCTTGGCTTCATGCTTGAGTATGCACTTTCTCTTGTAAAAACAGATATTTTGGGATAATCTTGAGTTGACAATTTTGCTTGCTGTACTACATTGGTCACTGTAATGCAACAGTGAGTTACATTACCTGAAGGGAGATTTATTTATCAAGAATTGGAACAGGCTGCCCAGGGAAGCGGTTGAATCACCATCCCTGGATGTGTTTAAAAGTCATGTAGATACGGTGCTTAGGGACATGGTTTAGCTGTAGACTTGGTAGAGTTAGGTTAATAGTTGGACTTGATGATCTTCAAAGTCTTTCTAAACGTTTCTGTGAACAAAGTCCCACTTGTAAAGTGTTAACATATCTTTTAGTGCATGCAGTTGTATGTTAAGGGTGGGCTGTCAGCCATTTAAGAGTTGAATCCCAGGCAGGAATTTTATTCACATACTTTAAAAGTTCCTAGTACTTTACAGCTAAAGAAGTCAAGGAATGTGTATCAAACTCTGAAGTCCTTATTTAGGCCAGCTTTTGTTTGCTTCATTTTTTTCTGATTAGAAGCTTTAGAATTTGGACATTAAGACAGGGATAGCTTCTGTACAAGTTCATGTAAGATCCTGGGATTGCAACAAGCATGGATAAGATACCTTCAGCCATCAGAAGAAATCAGCCAAGTTTTAATTTTAGAAGCCAATTCTGCTGTCACATTAGCATCTGAAGACTACATGCTCTTTTGCATTTGAAAACAACTCAGAAAATTGCACAGCCAAAACTTGAGTCGCTGTGTTTAATGCACACAGCATGTTCTCCCCTATTTCCAGAAAAGACACAAGGGTTCTGTCAGGCAAAGTATGCTTTTGCAGAACAGTGGAAACAGTATTGTTAGAAAATCAGTATGTTTGAGGCCACAGTGGGGCCATTTTTCTATCTTGGGGGCCAAGTTTCCAAACTGTTTTTTTCTGTACTCAAACTTTGCCTACTACTTCAGGAGCCACCAGAAGCTTCCCAGCACCAAATGCTGCAGGCAAATTCCTTGCCCATATAAATGCCTGTGAGATGTGGAGCCATCATTAGAGTTTGTGCAGATATCTGGTATATCTGGAAGATGAGTATTCCCTCTGCCAGTTTGCAATATGAAATCTGGAGGCTTGGTTGACAGAGCGTTTGAGTGAGGATTTCAGATTTCATGGAGGGACTCCTTAGCTCAGGTACTCTGGCAGCCAAGCCCCAGGAGCTTGCTGTGTGTGTTTCTAACAGTGTTTTTGATTGATGCTTTCAGCTGACTCACTCTTGGCCAGGCAAAGAAATTGAGTAAAAGTGAAGACTTGCTAATATAAATGAAATATTGATGGCGAGGGCTCCTTAATAATATTACAGTGTGTATCAGCAAGTAGGGTGTTCCACAGTTAGCCTGGGGTTCTTTCCAGGTGTACAGGGAACTCCTGAAATGCTGTGATTCGCTTGCAAAGCAAAATCCTGTAGTAGCAGAACTCTCCTGTTGTTGTTTCCTTATATATAAATCTACTTCATAATTTGTAGTATATTTTCTTGACAGTGTTTTCCCTTCCTTTTTTTTGTGTAGTCGCATTTTGTCTTGGAATCCCTTGCTTCCACATATATTTCACTGCTGTTTACTGTTCTGTTGTAACCATAAATAATTCCTGATATTGTTGAGTAGCATTTCTGCTGCTTACCTTTTCCCCAGGGTATGAATTGAGTGATTGGCAAAAACTCAATCCGAGAGTCCCCGCTTCCCGGGCTAGTGCATAGGAATGTAAGATCTTCTGCCATTTATCCTTCAATCCTGAACGCTGACCTGACCAGAGAAGATCAATATAATGTATTAATTTGCCAGGGAGTCAAGGTACATCCCTCATCGTGCTTTTTGCATTGATCAGGATTGTGATTCTCCTTGCAGGGCTTGTAGCTGAGGCGAATGTGTCCTTGGCTGATGTCATGAAATCAGCACCGGAGCCTCGACTGGCTGTTACACCAACTGCTGGGGCTGAGGAGGTGAGCAAGTTTGGCAATACCATATTGCTTTTCGTTTCCCGTCTGCTTCAAAGCCCCATGGTTTACTAATTCTGCTAATAAAAGAAACATCTGGTTAGACAATTCTTACTCCTTGTTGCATGTGATGATCTGATCACTCCATCCAGGTCTGTAAGAGTGATTTTTCATAACTGAGTGTGATCAGAGAGCAAAATCTGTTCCTTAAGGGACAGAAAAAGTTATAAAATAGGTTGAGTTGGGATACAGGTCAGTTAGGTTGTATCTGATAATATTGATAAGATAGTCTTGACTTGTTTGCAGGAAGCAACATGGAGAAAGGCGTGGTGACAGTGCTTTCTGGCCTCTTGGAAAACATCCCCAAAACTCATTCCTGTCTGATCTTAAGCAGTGGTCAGTAGTCACTGATCTTCACTTACAAATCCCAGGTGGAAAAGGTGCCAACAGGGAGGATTCAGTAGGCACAGGTCTTCAGTACTGTGCCCATCCTGGGAATTTCAGTGTATCTGAAGGCGAAGTTTTTGCTTTATGGGGCCACACAGATAAAGCAAAAGAAATAGTCATTGTTGCTAACTATGTGGTTCTATCCCCTGTAAAACCAAGGAAGGAACTGAAGTCTCAGGCCCTCCAAGTGCAACCCTGCAGCTCTTGCTTTCAGGTGCCAAAGGCTTTAATTTACCACAGCTTCTGAAATATAATGTCCAGTAGTAAGTAAACAACACAATATAGCAAGATTCCTAGAGAATACATGTTTAAATAACCAAAGGTGAATTTAAATCTGTCTTCAGCTCTGCAGAAACCTCTTTTACATCAACGCAGCCTTACGCTCTCCATTTATGAGATTTGGATATGCCCTAACTACAGGCAACAAGGTTTTAAAGCTTTTATTTAAACTGGGAAATTAATGATCTGCCAGAGCGACTAACTCCCAGCTACATGTGTAGTGGAGCACCAGATATCATCATGAGTAATAATAGAAATGATCATGCTGCATTGTGCCTGCCAGCGGATTATTTAATTATTAACTGAGATGGAGGAGCTCAGTAATCGAATAGAAGTCCCCTTCAGAAATATTAAGACATTGAATAATTTAAACTTGATTGATCTGATCTCATTTACACAACCTTCCCCCCTCATTTTAAAAGATAAAATAATTAACAGCAATGGCCTGTGTTGCGTGTTGCAGGTGAAGCCTTCTGCAAGGAATATGCTTTAGGAACAGATCCCCAGTGTTGGATTCAACCTCACCTTGCTGTCCTGTTCTCCCCAAAAATGCTGTCTGCTGAAAAGCTGCCAGGCTGCCTTGGGTGGGGGTGGGGAGAGCTCGGAGACCTGCTCTGACCCCCCAGTGCTGCTTTAGCTATAAAACTGGGGGGCAGGGAATACAGCTGTCACTCACGGGGTCCTTGCAGGGGCAGCGAGCACCTTGTACCCCTCCAGCTAACCTAACTGGAAAGATCAGTGGGGAATTCATTTACCTCTTTCTCTTTTACTGTCTGCATAAAATGGCCTGGAAGCTAAAAGAGTTAATTATCTCCTTCTCGATACTTTTCTTCTCCTTTTCCACTTGGTTAGACATGGCTCTCATAGCACATCTTTTTATTGGTTTTAAATGATGTACAGCAGTGAATTATTGCCCCAGTAGATAGGAGTGAATGATAGAGAAGGCAGTGGCCAAGCAGCACGTGAAGGAATAACCATTCCTGTGCTGTAGGTTAGCTTGCCGGCTTCATCCCATGAGAAGCAGCTCTTGCAATTATGTATTCCACACCATTTTAATTTTTTTTTCTTCCTGTCTTATAATTTTGCAGCTGATGGTGGATTCCCTGGCTAGTTTCATGGCTGTGAAACTGCAGAAAGCCAGAGGGCCTGTCAGTAATACAGTGTATTACCATGAACAGTGCTGTAAAAATTCCTAATGTGATGAGTCAGTTTGATTCTGTTTTTCACAGAGCTGCATCTCCCTGTCCATCCAATTTCATTCTGTTGAGGTTAGAGCCTTTCACATAAACGACGGTTCTTTTTATAAACTTCAAAGTCATCCTGAGGTTAAGTTCTGTCTCACTGAGGAGCTCTTCTGAGAGAGTCTGGATAACCAATGTGAAATTCCCTGGACCACTTCGTTACATTTTTTGGACAGCTACAGCTAAATCTTGGCAGGGTGGAGAAAAAACAGGTCATAACACAGCAATCTGCTCTGGTTTCATCCTTTCTTCCTGCTATAGGTTGGAGACAGCATGTGTTAGATCATTGGAGAGAGGAAAACCTCCTACAGACAGAGGTCAAATGCGACAGTTTGATGCAGCTTCCTCTTCGTTGCCAAGTCTTATGCACGCAGTAGGGGTTTCCAGGAACCAAAAAATGCAAAAAGTGTTTCTTTGATTGCTGCAGGATCGTTTGTGATAACGAGTATGATTTCAGAAAGGAAGGGCACACCACACAAAACAGCTCTTCTAGTTAAATTAAACTGATAGGCAGGTAAAATAGAATAAAGTCACAATATGGGGGGCATAGAGCTTGTGATGGGTAATGAATTAGTAGTTAGTAGAAACTGAAGTCCTGTAAGTTTCAAGCTGTCTAGCAAAAATGTGACTTCACCCTGTAGCAGACCACCCTGACTTGAAGAGACCATTTCAAAGAGGATAAATACTTTTCTGTGGCTATGACCCTGTCTCTTAGCTGAACCTGATTTCACAGTAAATCTGTAGGGTGTGGGGGCTCACTTGAACTTGTTTCTAGTTCTGTTGAAAATCAAACAAGTCATAGAGTATTCTAGTGGTAACCACCATGGCCATAGACTTGGGTCACTTACTCAACCAGGCTAACTGAAGTTAGTCATCTGTGGGTTAACTTGATGAATCCTCTTTCCCTGTTTTCAGAATACCCAAAATTAAAGAGTCATCTCACCTCCTTGCAGCCTCCTCTCCACCTCGAGGAGAAAGATTCATCAGAACCACTAAGCATGACAGACAGAACCAGGAGATTCTAGAGCAATAAATACATGTTAACAGACAGACAGAATCTATTATTCCAGCATTAGAATTCAAATCTCTTTTAGTAATCTATTAAAGCAGAGATGGTTGGCTAGTTGGTTAATTAAGCAAAAAAGCAGGAGTGAGAACACGATTATCTGGAGTTGCTCGCTTGTGCTTATACCAGCCTATGATGTAGTGTCAGATTTATTGTAGTATTGTCCTGTAGAGCTTGGTAGGGAGTAGGCGTAGCACAGCTCACTTCCTCTGGGTGTGTAATTCTTGATTGCATTATTGACTCTGCTGAGATGTATTCATCTTTCAGAAATTCTAGAAGGGAAAATGTAAACCTAACAGGTTTTCTTGACTTTGGTGAATTACCTTGTAAGTAGGTGGATTTATAGAAGTGACCCTATTACCAAGGGAGGTTATAATAACTTATTTCTTGATTTAAAATAATGATATTTTTGTTAAGTTGGATTTTGGAGGGGGGAGATTGTTCTCCAGAATTGGTTTAGGTTGGTAATTTAGTGCAAAGTAGGTAATAATAATAATACAACCACAAAAAATATAGGTTTTGATGGGAGCTTGATTAAGGTGATTTGTGTAACCAATATTTTTTTTTTTTTTAACCTATTAAACTGATTAAGATAGGTTTGCAGAATGAATAGGCAAAGTAAATAAAGTAACTATTTAAGGTGTGGTTCCTCAGAGGATCCTTCACAGTATTTCAGGACACTGTCATATTCCCTCTGCTTTACAAGTATTCTTTCTGTGTTAAAGGTGAACATCTGCTGTGATTTAAAAGTAAAACATCTGTAACTTGCTTTAAGCAAATCTCTTGGAATGATTTGAGTTTGGCTTAAAAAAAAAAAGGAACCTATCAAGTAGCAAGTGTTTTTGAGAGTCTGATTAATTTTTGTCTATTCAGGGTAAATTAAATGTACTTGAGTAGACTAAAATTTTACAATAATCAGCATCATCTTAATAAATCTTGAGATGCTCCAGTCAGTGGCTAACACAGCATTGCAGGAGGTAGAAGCATCTCTGTGGTTGTCACTTGTAGCAATAATTTGTAGCCGGTTTTGCTTTTAGAGGGTGACAGGTACAATGTAAAGAATAAAAGCCCTTTGGAGTTTGTAGGCTGGCCCTATGGTGAGACATAGTATGATGACACATTGGATGTGGACTAGAGAGCAAGGTAACATTTATTTCAACGCATTTTCTAGGGAGGGTAGGTTAAGTTATGCTCTGTTATAATGCAATACTTATCATTAGCATCTTCTTAGTTATTTGTGAGACTGTCGGCGTGTGGCCAAATTGTCCCAGGAGAGAGGTTTAGGGTTTGTAAATGAGGCACTCAGAGTTGTGGAGTAGGCTATAGAGATAAGCAGGAGAAAAAGCCATAATATAGCAAGGACAGTTAAATTATGGACAATAATAAGGTTCATGTTGTGATACATGTAATTACTTTTGTTAAATATCATGGTTTGATATATTAGGTTTGAGGTTATGACAGAGAGGGAATTTATGTTCTTGAGTTTTTATGCATCACTGAGAGTCCTTTATTCCCTTTAGACCACAATTATAAAAATAAATCTATATAATTGCCTCAGGAAAAAGACTCCTGGAATCATTTAGGAGGAGTTGCCCAAGGTTCTGCAGAGGCAGTTCAATTGCAGCAGATGTGGAGAAGCGTCCTTCACAGACACAACTGCATGCCCACTCAGGCCGTGGTGGTATTACAGCCAAAATCCCTGAGGAAGAGGAGTTTAAGACTTGGGCTTAGCCCTCTGGCCTGTGGTGCTTTTTAGTCCAAATGAACAGGAATAGAGTACAAGGAATATTCTTAATTCTTTGCATTTTTTTCAGATGGTCCATAATGCAGCATTCATTTACACTAATGGCTGAGAAGCTCATTGCAAATGCCTGAATTTTCTCAATTAGCAAGCCAAGTGCTTAAGTCCAATAAACGGGAAAAGAAACTGCATCAGTAAATGTGGTTCTTCATTTATTTGGACACATTTTAATTTAGAGTGATGTATTAGCAATAATACTCCCTAGCCTTCTAGTAAATGCACAGTTGTGTATTTTGTAAAAATACTGCTGGGAAAATAATATGGAACCTGCTTTCTCAGTGCCTGATTTCACTTACCAAGGCAGCTCTGTTGTGCTGAATCTTTGCTGAGAAGCGCTTAGGGTTTATCAAATTTATAGAACAGCAAAGTAAGGAATAGCAGGGCTTGATTATAGATGCTCCAGTGAATGAAGGAGCAGTTTTTGTTTGACATACTGATACTCCCAGTGTAGCCATAATTGCCTGCTCAATAGTTTGTTTACTCTGATGTGCATATTTAGCAGAAATGGGAGCAATAATATTCTTTGGGAACATGAAAAGAATATATATATATATATATATGTACTTCACTGAGCCCCCAAGGCCCTCGTGTAGTTAGTTAAAAATACCATGCTGAGTCATGTGGCTTTTCCCAATAGTGGTACACTTTATTTTCTAACCCCCTAAGTCCGAGTAACTCTCCATGGGTCTCAGTATCTCTCTCCTGTGGAGAAGAGGAGTTGGGCCATAACTGACTTGGCTGGGGTCACTGCACAAGTCTGTTGCAGAGGTAGGGGTGAGTAGGTTTCTGTTTTAGTCAGTGAAAGACACTGTAAGACTGAGTCACTGTAAGGTGGGTTTAAATACTGTCCTGATGATGCCTTGGCTGGCAAACGGTGTTTCTCTGCTGTAGGAGCTTCTGTTCTTCTTCCCTTTCATGTACTTAAGCTGTTGTAAAAATGTACTTTAACTTCAGTAACATCTGGTTGGGAAAAGGGAGAGGTTGATGAAAATGGACTGCTTCTGCTGAATTTGTCCATTAAGTTGCTCTCACATGCCATTGTGGAAGGTGGAAGTGGGGATGAACAGATAAATCCAGGTTTCACTGGCCAGACTGAAAGTATTATTTAGGAAGAGGGGAACATAGAAACTGGATGTTTTGTCATCAGCTGAAACACAAAAAGACTCCAATTCTTTATTTACTAGATGATAAAAGTCTGTAATTTTTTTTTTTCCTTTCATCTGAGAAAATGTGACTGTTACTGAGGCTACTGCAGCTCTGTACATAAACCTGTGCAAGAACAACCCTGTCTCTTCCTATGGCCTCATGGTTTACACTTGAAACGTTTTCCTCCTGCATTCTTCATGCATATGCAGACGTGGTTGTTGGCTCTGGATCTTACCTGGAAAAGGATATAATGCATTTAAATGCTGGATCTCCCTGATGAGAGCAGTAATTCGGTTTACTGGGTATGATTCACTATGGCTCTATAACCTCCCTGAACCTGGAGCCAGGAGCAAGACTGCCCTGGTTATGAACAGCATCAGTGCAGAGGGCTGGTGGGCTGGACTGGTGGCCTGTAGGATTCACTGCAGCAGGGATGTGACCTAATGGCATCTGCCTGAGGACTGCTCGAGCCTGTAGCAGACCCCACACTGGCTCCTGGCAGTCCCTTCTTTGTGCTCAAGCCAGCAAGGGAGTGAAGCTGTCCTCCTACAGCTTGTCAAACTACTGATCTTATTAGATGGACAGTTAAAACCAGGGAGAGGAGATAAGGAAGAAGATCTCTAAGATGTCGATGGAGTACAGCTTTGGGCTGGAGCCAGCAGCAGGGCTGGGCTCTATTCAGTGTTTCTGCTACGTAATCTGGTCACATACAAGCAGCTCATCTTCTGCAATATGTCCTGGGATGAATTTGTAGAAAAGGGGAAGGGAAAAAAGGTAGTGAATGAAACGGATCCCAACATGGATCTTGCTCATACCCAAAAGCATAGGGCTTGTTTGAATTGGGGTTTTGAAAACAGTTGAGTCCTGCTTCTTCTTTTTATGGTTGTAACAATTCTGGATCTAAAAATTCCTGGAGAATTCTAGCTGGGGAAGTACAGAAAAGTTACTCAGATACTTGGTGTAGTTGTGGACAGAAGTTGGGTGTCCGTTTGTCCCCCTGGGCCTGGGATCAGGGAGTGAGGAGCCTGGCCATGGACCAGATTGTCAATGGGAAGAGTTTTGGCTGTGAAAGGTGTGAAGGAGAGAAGCTCAAATAGATACAGGAGCATGAGAGGGGCAGGAGGGGGTAGAGAATGTGAAGTGTATTTTAAAAGGGCCTGGTCAGCATATTGGCCAAGGAGGACCTTTCTGACAGTGGTGTTTGACTGTGCTGGAGGGTAGCAGTGTCCTTATTGGCAAGGCAGAGGAGGAGGGGACAGAGGCAGTGATCCATCCTGAGGTAGCAGGGGAGGCAAGGACAGGAGTTCTGCCTGGGTGGTCAGGACAGCTATTACAGAGGGGGCACGTCGGACTGGGAGAGGTGACTTCAGCTGAGCTCCTTCCTCTGGAAGTAATGACTTCTGCTTATAGCAAGAACACATCCACAAGAAGAACAACCTGTGCATGTCATAAAATTAAGCTGTAAAGGAGATGGTAAAAAGGACCGTGACATTTAACAAAGGAAGGCTGCAGCATTTTCTCAAGCAAATTGGGGAAAAAAACCCACAAACCTTCATGTACCTATGAAGATGCTGCATTTTTCAGGGCTCAGGATGTTTTTTAACTGCAGTGTGATTTAAAAATCTAATTTTTCAACCTAGACATATTTATTTCTTTTTCCTTTTTAGCTCTATTGTCCACTTCTGAAAAGATATGCTGAGCTTGAACAGAAGGTTATCTACAACCCAACCTCTTCGTGTCTTGTGAAATAGAAGCAAGCAAAATTTATAAGTTGGCTGAAGAGTGGACTCCCAAGGAGAAGATCAGAAAAGATTTGCTCAGAATTTACTGGCGTTGTTTAAATCATTTTATTCCTCTTTGCAGACAAATAATTTTTAAATGTCTGTGTTGGTGGAAAAAAATTACATTGTGATTGAAAACCTGATTAAAAAAGCATCGTATTGCTCTGTGTGTTCGTGACTTCAATTTTTCTTAGGTACTTTTCAGATCATGCTTGCTGTTTTGGAATAGCTGGATGACAAAAGCAAGTCCTTTGTATATGTGAATCACTCTTCCCCTCTCTGTCAGCTTTGATTCCATGTGCTTAGTGTGCTGGCCCCTGAATACCTATCTAGCATAGTATCTTAATTCCACAACTTCTCCTGCTTAAATCTTTTGAGACTATGTATACATCTGTGACTTGTTGATATTTGTATCTTTGCCTATATGAAACCAACAGAAAGCATAAGCACAGTGACTTAATCCCATCTTCCTTTAATATGTGGAGATTTGTGGTGTGAAGGCTGATTAAAGTCGTTAAAGACTCCCTGGGATCCTCAGAGAAGGGGAATTCTTGTTACATGACACTATGGGAAGTCTGTTGTGTGATAAAACATGAAGTGGTTGGATTTTATAAATTGTGGAAAGCACAGAGATATGTGTGATACAGACACCATTGCACAATGCTTCATTTGACATTGATTTTGTAAAACTGAAAATGAGACAGATGTGTGAAGATTTACATGTTTCATTTCCGTGTCAAAAAACAGTCAGTTTGTCTAATTTTGGGATTATTCTTCCTTTCCTCCTTCAGGTGTCATGGCTATGAAATTCCTTGTGTCCTGCTGAGTGTGACTGCAGAAGTCACACTTGCCATGCAGATCACTGATTTTCTATATCACCAATATCCCAGTTCTTTTTTGGAGATCTCGAGTGCGACTGGTGACCGACTTGTTCTGTTGCAACCCTTTCAGTTCAATATTTTAGTCCACGTTAAGTAGCCTCTAGCTGAGAAAATCTTAACAACAAACATGAGCCAGGAGACCTTTCTACAGAGATGTGTCGAAGTCACAGAGTTTGAATGAACATCCTAAATCTCCCTGTGCAAGTGGGAACACTCTTCTGCACCATTCTGCAGTGCCACTATCTTTCCCTCAGGATAAAGTTTCTGCTGGGAATAAAGCAGACTTGTTTAATGACAGTGACTGAAGTGTTTCTTCCCTTCTAGAAGAAGTTGTAATGTGCCTAGGGAATAAGCCAGGGAACTGCAGAGAGTTCTCTACAGTCTCTTTATTGAGTATTTGAGAGCTGGATTATGTCCCTGCTGGGGCTGGGCCACTCGAATTCTTCACGTCACATTGGCATGGGAGCACTCTTGTCCCTGCTGTGTCGCTGTGGTGAGAGTGGAAACCCCTTGCCAGGACCCACCTCAGGAGTGGCAGGGGAATGGGCACGTTCCTCCTGTGCTCTCCCTTTTAAATTTAAGTGCTTCATTTGTGAATGCAAACAATCCCTTTTTTTTTTTTTTTGTCCACAACTGAATAATTATAACTTCTTTTGATATTAGCATGATTACTTGGGAAGGTCAAGAATGACATTTCCAGATTTCTAAAGCAGGCCTCTGTTAAGCAATTGCTTTAAAAGGTGGCATTGCAAGTACACACCTATCTCTTTTATGTGCTTATTATGCTGGGTCCCCAGATACAGTGCTAAAATGTGTAATACTTCTCAGAGGCCTCCACCCTCAGCAGATGCTCTGTCATTGAGCAAGGCTGTGGAGCAGTCCAGAAGGATTCATTAACTCAAGTTAGAGAATGCCTACCAGTGTAAGCATCATTGCCACCATCCTTAGTCTTTAGTTCTGCCTGGTTACTGGTTTGACATCAAGGTTAGCGACACAGGGAAGGGATTCAGAGAGGTTTTGTAGCTTTGTGCAGTTTTGGTGGCAGTTTCTCGAGTAGCTCACTTCTCCGAGAAGACTGATGACTCTTGCAGCTTTGTGGCTTTATTTGCTTGTGAAATGAGAGACCAGGGTCAGTTTCTTCCTCAGCTGAGGAAGGTTGAAGCTTACATTTCCCAGGTCCTGGCACATGTTTGAACATTTCTGGGTAATATATTGGCTCCTAACAAAGTGATGTGTGGTGCTAGCAGGGTATAATCTAGATGGTTTAACTACTTCCTGGGCCTGAGCTTTTCTCTGGGTAGGGAGAATGAAACACTTCCTTGGGGCTCTGCTCTCTCTCTCTTGGGTTGAGACTCTCTGGTTTGTCCCATGAGTATTAAAACCCTGTTTCCTCAGGGTAGCTGATGCACTGTGTGCTTGCTGCAGGAGTCACTCTGGAGGGCCAGGAGCTGAGCACCACTGAATTATAGTATTGCTGTGGTGATGGGTTTATTAGGGCTGGCCTCTGAGGAATGGTGTCTGGACTATAAGAATTTATAGACAAGCTCTTTTTTTTTCCAGCTCACCAAAGTTGGACATGTTCACTGACTAGTGTCAGATAGAGAAAGACTCAATAAATCTCCCCCTTGAAAGGTCTTTTGAAGAAATGCTGCTGTGAGACTTCTACCAATCTTCTTTTTGTCTTTCCAGGAATGCACATAAGCCTACCAAGGAACTACAGGCTTCTTGCTCTCACATGCACATCCCTTTAAAAAAAGTCCTCAGTTATGGAAGGATCTGGTGCCTTTTGGTTTCCAAAACCACGTGGTTTTTTTTTTTTTTTTTGTCATCTTGTTCTACCTTATGTTATTCTGGTTGTCTGGAGTAGACAGGTTACTGACTTCTCATCTCAGCTAACAGAAATCTAAGGGCAAGACAATGCCTTCTACCTCAACATGTTTGATGGCGGTTGATTCCCTCCCTCCCCTGTAAGTGGCCTTGCTGTTTTTCAAGGTGAGCAACATGGGATCCCCATCTTGTCTGGATGAAACATGAGCTTCTGTGTTTAAAGACCTGTTGAGCTATTTCCAGTCTAGACTAATCTGCTGGAAAACTGATCTCATCTCCTGGAAAAAAAAACCAAACCAACCTTGATTTGCTGCAAGGAGGTTGTTCATCACTGTCTAACCTGCAGCTCCTGTCCCACACAAGCAAAGCCACTTGGCTGGAGATGGGTCATGGGCTTACATGGAAAAATCCAAGCAGCTTGCTTGGCTTGATGGCCCTGAGCCCTCACCAGTCAATCAGAGCTGTGCTGGATTCACCCACAAGCTCTTGGTGCACCACGACCCAAAGACAAACAGTTTTCTTTGCAGCCTGAAGTCTTTTGTGATGCAGCTGGAAACAAACAGGGAAAGATGTTTGCTTTTTCTTAAGGGATCAGTCTGAGAGAGCTGGAGCTCTGATTGAATAAGTAATGTACTGAAAAAAGTCCGTGCTCTGTTGGTGCTTTAATAAGTAATTGAGCTGAATACCCCCACGTGCCATCCCAGGGGGACCTTTTTGTTTTTCAGCTTTCTTTTCCTTTGGAGTTACAGCTACCACTGCAGATCACAGAGCAGTGCAGTGAAGGATGTGTATCTAAAGCCACGAAAAGCCAAAGCAGAACTTTCAACAAATAATTTGTTTTATCTGTATTTCTATTACCTTGGTCCCCAGACTGCTGCGTGCAGGTTAAGGGTGGAGGGAACGTTTGAGAGAACTAAACTGTGCTTGTTGGTGCTTGAATATGGGGCCAAATTATAACCCCTTCCCTAGCAGAAATGCACTAAACTGGATATTTCATCTCCTCAGCAGCTGATTTTTCATTTAACTTATTGGATTTTGATTTCATTGAGATCTTAACCCTCATGTTAAATTGGGTTGAAATTGGTAACGTATGGCTAAGGATGGTAAGCAGGTGGGTGGACGTTCACCATGAGATCACTATTCCATGAGAAGCATCTCCTTAAGAAGGTTCTCTGAAGGTAACTTTAGTCCTGATTCCATGTGCAATTTTAGTAGTTTTACTTTGTGCAAATTTGGTATGAAATCATATTTGCATCAAAGAATCTTGCCTTCTTATTAATTTACACTCATTTTGTGCAGGTCAAAATCACAATGTGATGAGCAAGGCAAAGGAACTTGGGAAGTATTGTTGTGGTAACCTGCTTTTTTTTCGAAGCATGTGTCTTAAGTGTGTGAGTAGAACATGTTTAAGTGGGATATTCAGAACAGTTACAGCCCCTGTTCACCTTCTGTGCTTTGTTTACAGCCTCTTTGGATAAAGTTCAAGTGGTTTAGCTTTCAGTCAGTAGAATATAGGATTTTCTGATTATTTTTTCCCCCTAGAACCTTTTTAATTTCGTGCAGCAGATACAACCTTTTCTTGTACATGTTTTGCCTTTTCAGCTGTTTCCACTTCTGTGGGATGCTAAGAGCTTCTCTTACATGACACTTTCCCAAGTGAACTTGTCTCCTGCTAAAAATCCAGCCTCATTAGTCATTTTTCTTTACTTGTTCTTCTGCTCCTCTGTTGCTTCTTAAAGTTGGCCTTGACAAACAGAATGGTGATTCCAGACTTCTGGGAGAGTCTTGACCATTGTAGGGACTCAGTGATACCATTCAGTGTCCTGGAAGCACATACCCCTAGGGGTAAGGATGAGGGAAGAAGCAGCTATCACTGCTTATGGATATTGCTATGATCTCTGATTTCAGTCTTTCACAAAGTTGCCTCATCCATGGTCAGCCTGCCCATTAGAACAACTGTGGATATTATTAACTGCATACCATGTTTCTTGCTCTAAGCTCTTTAGATGGCCGCTGTTTGTGGTATGTTCCTTGTTAAGGTGCTGTGATTAGTTCTGATGTTTTGTATACTGTGCCTTAGTACCTGTAAAGCATCCATCTGGATGTCATTTCTCTTTCAGCATCTCATCAGCCAGTCCTTGGCCATTCAGGTGTGGGATTCATCTGACCAGCATAGACATCTGCTTCTGCTAACATAGGGGCTCCTGTTATAATCAAAGGAGAGGACCACAAGGGAGAAGAGTTTCTGGCTGTTTTTCATCTTATGGCAGATGTCTACAACAGATCAGGTGACTGGTCTCTTGAGTGAGCTATTTCTCCCTGCTGAGTAGAAAGGCAGTGGTGTGGGGAAGAGGACAGGAAAAAACAATATTTCTTCATCTGCCAAAACTCCTGAAGACTTGATCGTTTGTCCCCAATTACTGTGGTACAACTAGAAAGCTTT